TAGCCCAGGCTGGCCTCGAACTCACAGAGATCCGCCTGGCTCTGCCTCCCGAGTGCTGGGATTAAAGGCGTGCGCCACCACCGCCCGGCGATACAGTTTTTTTTATCTTAACCAACAATAACTTGAAACCAATTCTCTTAAATAATGGCAAGTATTTGTAGCCCATTGAACTCAAATGACCAAAATCCATGTATCTTTGACTGTTAATTCAACATTTCTTTTTCAGGCAATATCAGGAGAGAGAAGGGTTAACCGGAGAAGTTGCTGGCCGGCAGAAGAGACCTTGAAGTTATCACAGTGAAGAACTTGGCTTAGGAAGGAAGGGAGGGGGAGCCGTGCACACAGAGAGTGTCCTTGGCTGCCAGTGTTCCTGATAAAAAGTTTTTGTTAACTCCTCTGACTGAAATCAGATTCTCTGTTCAGTGTTCACACAGTTTTTGTCAGTTGCAGACAGTCCCCATCTTTGCCGGGAGTGTACCGGTAGTACGCACCCCCACTCTGTGAGAGCAGCTGACTGGCTGCAGTCCTGATAGCAAGAGAGCTAGGGAGGGAGGGAGGTGGCCCTCACTGTGCCTCTCTCTCTCTTTCTCTTCCAGGAAAATAAGGGAGGTGAGTAGACAGAAACAGATAACAGTTACACAGACAATCCATGTACCCTACGTCAGCACTGAGATGACGGCCTCACTCACAGCTAGCAAGCCCCTCTGGCAGTATGCAAGCCCCACCTGGCAAGAGCTATCTGCTTATCTCAGTTCAGCGGAGGTGGGGGGGCCCAGTTCTATTGTGGCCCGCACATCCTTCCAGTGGGCTAGGCAAATGTCTAGGGGAGAAGAAAGGGACTGTCCCATAGTGTCCGTCACAGTCAAGTCAACAATGAGAACAATTCAGACATGCACCAGGGGCTTCCACATCCCCATTAAACAGACATACACCAGGGGCTTCCATATTCCCATTAAACAGACTTACACCAGGGGCTTCCACATCCCCATTAGTCAAACATACACCGGGGACTTCCACATCCCTGTTAGGGCCCAAAATGTCTCCTGAGACCCCCATGATCCTGGCTCATCAATGTGTCCGCTGGCTCCCTGCCACAGGCACTGTCCATTACCGGATCACATCACAGACCTTAGTGTGCCTCAGAAAATGAACATACAGAGTCACACAAAGACAGGGACAGACAAAGACACATAGAAACTTACCAGATGGTTAGGAACCCCTCAGATCAGGGTCTGGGGGTCATGAAGGGTCCAGGACAAGTCCCCAAATGTTGTGGCTGCATCGTGAGACCCCCAAGCAAGACCACCACAGAGCCGATATCAGATACTAAACACACAGGGGTTTACTGATAACAAGCAAACCCAGGCTTGGTCCGTGTCCAACACTGGACAC